TCGCCTCCGGGCGGGTACCGCACTGGTGTCCAGCTGTTTCGAATATCTAGAGTGAGCTCCAACTTTGTGCCTCACGGCTTTGTCAATTGCTGCTGGAGGCTTTTGGCTGGATCCTTGGATCCAGTTGTTGGGAAGGCTCGATAAGTTTTTCTGGTTGATGAGACCCTGATAAGAGGAATCCAAAGTCATTCAAATTAGGTCGAGTGCTTCAATTAGTTGTTCCATAGTTGCTATCAATTGTTGTATGTCACTCTTACACAACTCATGGTACTTTCTGATCGAAGTATGGCTCCACAGCCAAGGAGACCCCTCAGGATGTGTGGTGTTCGCATGGATCACTGGACATAAAGTTCAATCGATTCTCTTTGTGATCTTGCTTGCATGAACATACATGGAAACTTCTCCCAGGGAACTTGTGTGATGTCCAAGTGAAGTAGCTTGGCTTTTGGGTTTCAATCTTACTGAGAGAGGTCTGTATATTTTCTGCAGAAGCCAAGAAGTGTGGGCCCTGTGTTTGGCTCGAGGGAACATTATGATTTCAATTCTTCCTGGAGTGCATCAGTGCAAGATGTTCAAGACAGCCTTTCCCGATCCAGCAAGGTTGGTTAGATCATACTGGCAAACAGGATGTTTCTGCAGATCCCCATTGGCATCGATGAGTCCGACCCATGGACTGTGAGGTCCTGATGCCATTTTTCCATCATAGACTCTGAGCTGTCCAGGAGCGTGAACATGTTGATTTTATTTAGTGTTGTATTAAGGTCTCCAACAAAAGCTGGAAGACCCCTTCCATTCCATGCTCTGTCTCATACCTCTAAGGCGATAAGAGGGCTGCACATGAGACCCAGAAGCATTGGACTCAGTCAGAGTGGAGATAGTAGACTGGTGGAATCCTTCAGTCCTTTCTTGCATGCAATTCAATTGGCTGGGTGGTGTGTGTTTCAGATGGTCGGTCACATGGAAACCCCTGAGGGATAGGGTGCTTTGAGGTTCCTTTCCAGTCCATCTGAGCCAGATCTGTCCAGGCTCCGTTGGTTGATCCTCCAGCCGAGGGGCTTCTGTAAGCTTGGTCTTCTTCTTTGGTTTTCCAATGTGCTGGAGGAGCCCTGGAATTGAACTGCGGTCAATGTGCTGTAGTCATGGTTGAAGGATCAGATGGTGGTGATTGGATCAGATTCAAAGGGCTTGTTCTGAAGCTGTGAATGAACGTGATTGCTGTGTGCTGCGTGTGTTGTTGAGATGAAGATGCTGAGGCAGAGGAAGCGTGTCAAGGTCATCCAAGTGAGACAACAAAAGAGGAGGTATGGCAAGCAGGCAATGGCAACAGATCGGCAACAAGAGGGGGAGCGCGGTGGATAGCCATCAATTGAGTCAATCGAAGTGGAATTTATGAGCTTTATCTTTACTGTTGTTCTTCGCGTCGTTCGGCGAATCGGTCGTTTGAATAACAACTGCAATTGATGCTCCGTACAATCAGTACCGTGGTCGTTCAACAAACGAAAACTGCAAGCCACCACGACAATGCCAGTTCTAGTAAGAAAGTCGGATCGGCTGAGTAACAGCAACAACCGGAGACGACCAACACGGAACGAGATCATGCGATCGCTCGTATCGTTGGTGTGTTGTTTTGTTCGAGTTAATGAAAAAGTGAGGAGAAATTTGCGAAGAATAAGGCAATGACTCAGCCGTTCGAACGGATAATAGAGAGGGAAATGGCCTCGAAGCATGACTCAGGCTGACACACAGCCGAGCCTCATATATGCAGTCAGCCTCATTTTTCGATGAATTCTGTTAACTCGATCGATCGATCCAATCGATGGATCCATGCTGAACTGAGCATGGATGCAAGGTTTAACGGTGATAGAGATAACAGTAGTTAAGTAACAGTAACCAACAGTAGTAACAGTAGTGGCTCCTGCAGCGATCGATTGATCGTATTGGATAATAGGATCCTCATTGAGATTACGATCGTCAATAGGATTAAGAACAAGGGGACTGCTTTTGAGCAAATCCAAGATAATAGGATGATCCTCATTGAGATTACGATACGTCAATAAGGAACAAGGGGATTGCTTTCGAGCGAATCCAAGGAAGTGAGTTGCATAAAGGGAAGGACTACGATGAAGAATGCAGAGGAAACTCATCAGGAGCATCTCATCAAGGAGTAGCAAATTCCATTGACAACCATAGGGGATAGACATATAAGAAATAGAATGAGTAACATCTCATAACCTCGCATGCTACCATGCGACAATACCATTGTGCATTGTTAATCAACGATCTAAGAGATGTAAAGTTGTATTTCCAAATAAGTGAGAGTTATTGATTATTTTCTCTTTCTAGAATAAGCCTGCTAATTGTAAAGCTGTAAAGCTGAATTGTAAGCTGTATCCCGTCGCACAATGGGCCTGTCAAGCCCGAAGTATGCGAGTGAAAACTGTATAGGCTGGTCAGTAATCCAATCTCTGTGGGGATGGTGCCGGTCAAGAGGGGCTGATTGATTAATAAACAACGTTTGATTCAATAGACATGGATATAAATTGAAGCCAGTCGAATGGCAAGGGTGAGCAACAACTAAATATATTGCACCAAGAAACACAAATGCACAAACAAAGATTCCGTACGTACACAAGAATCAAAGGAGAAATGTTTGAGATTGGAGAGCCTTCCAATTTCAGAGGGAATAGGGCCTTGGAGTTGTGCATTAAAAGAGAGATGAATCTGCTTCAATGCAGTCAACAGTCCCAACGTGGTCGGCAATGATCCTACGATATCAATGTTGCGCCAAAAGACGAGTTCGGAAATGTCCGTCAAGAATCCAATTTCATTGGGCACAGTACCGGCCAATCCATTGGCGAGATGCAGTATAGCAATGCGACCCTGGTCATTGCAGAAACTTTCCTCCTCGTCGGATGGGGCCGCCGCAAAAACACCCATGTTTAATTGTCCCGTAAGGAACAAGTTCATGACCATTTCGATGAATGCCGAGACATAGACATGTCCATTATTGAAGAGTGTGGAATTGAATCCTCCCGTTTGAATCCAGTGACATTCACTGACGTTGTGTGACATCCAACCATCGGTTCGTTCCCACAAATGTCCTTTGGTGGAATAATAGAGTGTGGCCAGAGCGAATCGTTGGAGACGACGCCACTGGGGATACTCGTCCAAGTCTTGATCATCGTCCAGCAGCCACTGATAAGCTTTGGATTGTGGACTGTCGGGATCGGCGAGGGCTGCCAATGTAAAGTCGGGCAATGCGTCCAGGACCAATTGCGTGGGAGAAAGAGTGGGAGATGATGTGGGCGCCCACGAGGGAGTGCTGGTGGGAGCTGTATTGGTATTGATGATTGTAGTAGTGGTTGTGGTAGTCGCAGTAGAAGTGTCCCGCCCCACAGCAAAGCCAAAGACAAATCCCAAAATAAGTGCCAGCACCAGTGATCCAATGAGAATATCCTTGCCGTGCCGTTGCCAAAAACTGTTGTCTTTTTGGTCTGGTCGGGGCATGGGTTGCGCCACTCCCAGGTTATCTGTGGCATTTGGATCGACTGGTTGCGCTTCTACCAGGGCATTGAGAATGTCTGAAGCTGCTGCCGTGGGATTGTCATTCTGAGGAGGAGCATCAGTGGCAGTTGACTGAGTTTCATCCGACGAATCCTCCAGGCCAGTTGCCTGCCCTTGTCCACTACTGGCAATTCCATCCATTGGAAAAGCGCCTGGAATGCTCTCTCGCCAGACAGCCACACCGTTGGAACGAGACATTCGCGTCTGAGGCACTGCCAGTTCCATATCTCTATTGATGCTGGCTTCCAGACTTCTCAGCTGCACTATTTCCATCAGATCCATGTCCACATTCTCATCCACATCATCTTCCTCCTCTACTAGAATGCCACCAGCCCTGGCAGTACTGTGCGCCACTGGATACATCTTGGTCACAATCAGCTCATCCTTCTCACTAGTAGCTTTCATCTTTAAAATAGCAAGGTCATCATCTTGATCCACTTGAAACTGCTTGGCATCATCATCTTGATTATCATCTTGATCCACTGCTATCCCTACTGGAACTTGTACATGCCCTCCTACTAGTACCATCTTTTCCTTGCTCTTGGCTATCGCCAGTTCCAGATCATCTGAATCTTCAGAGGAGCTGCTGCTCTTGCTGCTGCTCTTGCTGATACCAGTATCGTCCTTGTCTTTCATTATCTACGGTACGGTAGTTTGTGCTACTAGAGATCTTGCAATACTATACTGTGTCTGTTGGTTGGGTAGCTGAGAGAGGTCACTGCAGCCAACCCATTTGTGGCGCTTTCATCAAACTTCCTCCGAGTGTGAGTCCAACATCCAACAGTACGGTACGATACTAGCTACATGTACTAGTCTAGTAGCTACCGTAGCTATTAGTTCAGAAGCAAATAAATGACGGTGCGACAAACGTCAGATCTTTACCGTTCGTATGACTCCAGAAACTTTTTGCCATTAAGTCTACAATGGATCCTTACGTGACTATGATTGGCTAAAGAGTTAATGATGTGCCGCACTAAAGCAAACACGGAAGCTCATGGATTTAGAGCAAATCAAATTCTTTCTGTCTTCTGCAGCTTTTCTGCTTTGTCGCGGGGATCGGTGGCTTTTTGATAATTAACAAACGGAAGCCATTTCTAACTATTAAATACTCCAGTTCTGTTCTCTCGAGGAGGAGTCTATGCCTGTAAAAGAGAAGGTAAGTAAAATCTGCGACAATAGGCAGTATGGTATCCGAGCGTACGAGGTGCTGTGCGGTTTGATGCACCTATCATATTAAAATTTTATTGGCCCTTTTGGCCTTTTTGTGCTTTGCAGCGAGCTGCTTGGAAGAGCTCACTCAGAGTGAGGCAGGGACACCCGAGCCTTGGCTGCGCTGGCCCTCCTCAATGCTGGGATGCATGCATCGGTACTACTAGTACTCATTAGAATAATCAATCCAAGCAGGACGAAATTGCAGTCGACAATCCTATGGTATCTATCATTTGTACCAGTACTGCTGTCGACCATTCGCTCGCTCGATTCGTTCAACCTCTGCCTCATTTATTCCATGCATTTTTTTGTCAAGCATTGCTGGAAGGCTTCCACGATCCACGATACGATAGACAACTCAACAACACATGCGTGGCATCCATTGACAGCTTGACTGGTTTAATGTTGAGGTCCTGAAACTTGAACGCACCGTGGTTGCCATGATTGCATCCCGTGATGGAATCTCGTCAAGTTCCCTGTCCTCCTCGTCTGCAGCTCTTTATTCATCCCAATGGGACCCTACTAATCACGAGTCAAGTCTCGCAAGGACTACATTTTCCCCGTTTTTATAGCACTACGAGCGAGTGGTTTGAATCGAATCGAGAAGTCTGCAAACTGGCTCTAGGGTGAGGCTCTTCGATCGGGTGGGGTGCATGAGTCATTCGATTCGAGGCAACTAGCTACATACGTATGTAGCTAGTGCATTCCCACGGATTGGTTGTCATCCCGTGATGGAACCTCGTCAAGTTCCCTGGCCTTCTCGTGACGTGTAAACCTCTTTCATCCCGATGGGGCCGAAGCCACAAGTCTCGCAAGAACTACCGTTTCCTCTGAGGCATCGTTGCAAGGACAGGAGGATTGATCGAGCTTGTCCGTCGGGGGTGGGGTCATTGAACGATTCGAGGCAACAAGCTAGCTAGCTAGCTAGCTAGTGCATTGTTGCTTCTTGGGCCTTCCAAGCCAAGCCAGGACAGGCATGAGCAGTGCATGAGCTCGTCGATCGGGGTGGGGTGATTCAATTCGATTGAACTCGATGAAACTAACTAGATAGTGCATTCCCACGGTTACTTGGGCAGCTCCAAACCACTACTCAGTTGATAGTTTGCTTTGTATACCCATGAAGCTGGTGCAGGCCGAACTCCAAGAGTTGGTCCAGAAAGATGGATTGGACCAAAATGTCGTCTTTCTACTGCATGCCGCCAAGGTTTCCCATGGAAAAGCCTTAGGCTTGGTTTGTCCACGGCTCGCTCAGACACGACCCCGAGTTGTTGACACAAGTCATTGAGACGCATGCGGCATCCCCCTATAGTTTTTTGTTTGCGGGTGTGACTTGGAAATTGCTGAGGAGTGTGGCAATCCACAGTTGGTGTTGGAGCATGTATCAGCCAGAACGGATCCAGCGAATCTTTCAAATCCGTCAAGACGCCTCCGTCTCCAGTGCAGCATCCTTGCCACCGGACCACTATAATGATCGAGCAGTATGCGTCATGGCTGCCATGACGTCCTCTCGTGCAACCATACCATATTGCCAAGATACCAGAGGAATTCGCCAAAGATCGATACTTTCTACTGGACTGCATTGAGAGACAAGAAACGGCCCTCTTGCAACTTCCCGACGAGTTTCAAACGCAACCCACGTTTGTCCATGATGCCATTCCCTGGAATCCTTGCCACCGCTGGCATTCGAGTATCTCTCGTACCGGTAGGAACTTCGGGGCGACCCGGCGATTGTCTCGCGGGCACTGGAGCATTCCACCCCGGCGTGGTTATACTCCATTATGATAACTTGAAAAGACTCATGTACGTCCCCGACTTTGCCCGCAAGGCCGTTGCGGTGCAGCCCGAAAAGCAGTCCAGCGATACACCAATTCACTAAGCGGGGTAATACCATTACGCATATGTGGCTACTGTAGCTTCTTGCTGCCAAATACGTAGCCAAAAACTACAAGAAGGGATGAATCAATCGACCGGAGCCTCTGTTGCTCGTGTATTAGTCGGCTGAAAAAGTAGCGACAATTGTTGCATTGTTTCTTGCTTTGACGGCAGAAGATCCAACGGGACTACTGTTGTTCTGAGCCTTCAACTCACCGATACGATATTCCCACCTTTAATTTTCACAGATCCAACTTGGACAGACAGACTGGTTGAAGAGTACTAGTAGCCATTCATCGTCGTCAGCCTATCCAGTGCCATACTACATGTAGTAGTCGCTCTGGGGTGGAATTTAAAGAAGAAACAGTCATCGACCGAATGACCGATCGATCCGTCAACCAAACAAGAGGAGCCTGTCAGTGCCATGGTGGAGTCTTCTTCAAAAAGGAGTAGCCACTGTAAAGTGGAGGTAATAACATCGTCTCGAAAGAGAAAAGATGGAACATGTAGTGCGGAGGTATCCAAATATATAATCGAAAGAGGAGGGTTCGTACCGCGGTTGGTTGTGCCTTCAACAGATCGGTAGTAGGGTTGGGGCTACGCATGGTAAGAGTGACAGTCTTTTCAAACAATTTCACTAAAGTCTTTTTATCAAGATACGGTAGTACGAGCACCAGTGGAATTGCCTTCGCGTCGCCGTTCAACCGTCCTGTACCGGTATCACTATGATGTCACCTCTGCCTTACTCCATCCTGCACAACCATGCATCCTCATCACATGTATCATTTTTCTGTTTCGTTTTGCTTCCATTGGAAGGGCACAGCTCGCCATACTTTCATTCTAGTTAGCTGACATATAAGAGCACTTCAAGCCATGAATCCGGTTACAACAGCAAGAAGAGCAAAAGCCGAAAGAAATCCAAACACGTTGCTCGCACCAGAGCACTCAACTTGCTGCTTCTTGTCTGTAGCAGCACAGTAGAACATGTCGGCATCATAGGCAACCAAAGTACGAATCGAAGTTGTGGCAGACTCATTGCGTGTAATTCCAAGCAAGTCAAAGTTGATACTGTTTTGGGCGAGGGAAACAATGTGGTCACGGGCCGAGTTTGTCTTCATGAGCTCATCGCCCACCCAATCTTTCATTTCCTGGTTGACAGGAATCTCCAATGAGCACAACATTTGGAGCACCAACAATGCACAGTGATGCTTGATAACATCATAATCAGCATCTGAAACTGGCACAGTATCGAAGGCCATCACAAGGTCACTCATCTTGTGATCACCAAGAGGGTAGAGAGCACCAGGAGGAAACTTGTACAAGCTGGATGTGCCAACTTCCTTGGTAGCAGGGTTCTTTTGGTGGAAGAACACAGGACCACACATTTCATCAGCACCACCCTCAGAGAGATCTCTTGTGGGCTGGGCAAACATGCCCAAGTGGTCTTCATCCACAGCAATGAACAGAGCATACTTTTGCTCTCCACAAGTCTTTTCAAGATGTTCGGGCTGAACCAGCTCTTGCAAAACTCGACGACTGTCGGACTTATCTCCCTTGCAGAAGCCCACAGCACCAGCAAGCAAAAAGAGAGTCTGGATAAAGGAGATCTTCATGGTTTGTTTCAAACGTTTTCAAATCCAAGCAAGCGAAACGTAACGGGGGGGATTATTATGTGGTTAGAGCGTACGATGCGTGGGAAATTGTGAGCCCACAACAAACGCAAACAACAAGTACTGGTATCTCGGATGCAGCAGTGTGAACTGTTTCGCGCGACTTGAGCCAAGGTTCGGATTGGTTGCTCACGGAACATCTAAGAAGCGCAATTGTAGGTAATTCTGAAAACGAGACCTCAGGTCTCGTTTGGGAAGCACATCCCAACCTCTCCTTCCAAACCAAGTCCAAGGTTCCAATTAGGCAACCGGTGCTCCAGGTTGGGAAGTGACGTACTTTACAATCTACTACTGGCAGGGGAAACAACTTCAGTACGTGGTATGTTACCCTTTGTGCCCATTGGTGTATCCAACCGTTAAGTCATTGTCTACTAAAAAGAAGTCACATCGCATCCGTTTTTGGATGGTCAGAACATGAAGAATGCATCCCAACAACAATAGATCCTGCACAGAGGGGCTATTAATCGCAGAGGCTGGAACCTTGCTTCCAGCCTGGGAACAATGACTGTGGCAGAAAGAAATGGACTGCCCCCAAGAGCAGCAAGGACTCGGAGACAAAAAAGTTTGCTACCAAGTACTCAAACTCCAAGGTGGGCAATGCAAGTATGGAGGTTGGTCCAATGCAGGCGGAAGGCGCTACAATGCCCCAAGCTTGAGGTTCAGGATGCCCGTGCCAAGCCCAATGCCCAAGATGCAGAACAACAAATGCTGAATGGATGTTGCAATATTGTGAAAGGAAGACCACCAGCCCGATCCGGATGCCGGAACAAGAAGAAGAAGAAGGGCAAGCGTTCCTACGATGATCTGGTGGACTGTGACTAGGGTCCTTCCAGGTTGTCAATTGGCAGCAAGCCCCATTGAATGGGAAGCCCTTGGCCGCCTTTTGATTCCCTTGGTGCTTTTTGGCAGGCTTTTGTGAGAAATTTGTTGCCCAGTTCTCTCTGTCGGAAGCCTTCCGGTGCTTTTTCGGTACCATTGCCTCCCTTTCCTTTTGCTGATCTTGTTAATTGGTCGGTGGTGGTTGCCCATCTGGTAGCCTTTTTCACCCTTTTCACCCCTTTCACCATGAGGATCTTTTACGGTGATCCTCTTTTTTTGGTGACTCAGTACTGCTCTATTTGATTAGCGTTAACAATCTAGCATTTTGATATTCCACTCTTATCCTAGTCTTATCTCGTTTTAGCTGGTTTTAGTTGAAACTTGGCCACCTGCAGGTCCCATTTTGGTAGGTAAC